CACACAATGTGTGTGGTGTATATATATATGTGTGTGTGTGTGTATATATATATTGTGTGTGTGTATATATATATATATATATATACACACACACACACATACATATATATATATACACACACACACACACATATATATATACACACACACACACATATATATATACACACACACACACACACACACATATGTTTACATATCTTAAAAATATTTCTTAAAAAATAATTTGGGTTGGGTAATTACATGTTCTCTCTTTTTCGTTTATCAATGTCTTAAAATTCATTGTCATTATAATCATGTTCATGTTTCCAAACACAACACTAGCATGTCCTCTTACTAATTTATAGTATTTTTGTAATTTTATTCATAGCTTTTTCTAGTGTATTTACTTGTACACTATTTATGATCTTTACATGCACAGAGATTAAGTAGTGTATTTACTTGTACACCATCTATGATCTTTACATGCACAGAGATTAAATACCTTTGTACTTTCTCAGGACTTTGAAAATGATCCTAAACTTCTACAACAGACCACAGAATTTCTTGAGGAACTCATTCACAATTCGAATCTACTACCAGCTGAGCACAAGGCTGCTGCACAAATCTTGCAGATGATAACCTCAGAAGAACAAGAGAAGACTAAGGTGGATCTAGATATGCTCTTGGCTCCACCTTTGGTGAGAAAAAAAATGTATTTGTGTATTTTATTTATATAGCTGGTTCTTTATGTTTTAATACCCAAAAAAGTTGATCTTGAGTGAGAGTAGGAAGATGAGGAGGGATAGATCAAGTCTCAGTAACTAGTTTCTAAATTTAAGACTAGATTACCCAGGCCATTTTGTAGATCATTTGAGAAACATTTTTGTTAATCCATCAGTTCTCTATCTGCAGAAATTTTGTAGAATACTGTCTAAAAAAAAAAGATGGAAAGAACATTTATAATGTTTTAAGGTACTGAAATTTATATCAGATATTTAAGCTCTTTTACATTAAAACAGTAAATAATTAATCACTGACAATAAAGTTAACAGTACTGAACTTTAGATTTTATTGTAAGAACCTTTGTAATTACATTTCTCTTTCAAAACAAAGTTTAAAATTCCATGTGGTTCTTTGTTGTAATACCTAAGCTGGGGATGAGTAATCTTTTAGTTGGTTATAAGTGTGATATTACGTCACGGTAAAACTGATGATAATTTTCATCACATTCCTCTCTAATACTTGTCACTTAATACAAAATATTATCTGGTAACTGGGCTATGACATTAGCTGATTTAGTTGAAATGCTGTTTAGATCAGTCATCTATGAAACATCAAGTTTTATGGTATACTTGCCTATGTTGACTGAGCATGATCTATTAGTAGGTAATATCTGTGATATTACACCACACAAAACAAGAAGGAAAGTATTAAAGAAATATCTTGTGGTCTGTAGGTTAACTAAGATAACTAGGATATCTTGTGATGTTTTTACTGTTTTCTAGTCTTGTATTTCAGTGTTTGCTAATAACAGAAGTTGTGCAGTATGTTTACTATCAATAATAATGAAACCCAATTATTTTATTTAGTTTATCTTACCTAGTTTGTTAGCTAGATCTTAAATGGACATTCTACTTATTTTTTTCTTTGTCAGACTCCTAGTAAGGAAACAGTAGAGAGTTTGTCAGCCCTAGAACTTGCAGAAGGTATGACCTACCTTGACCATCAAATCTTTGTTGCCATCAGGAGCGAGTGAGTAACTTTTCAAACATTTGTTCTTATTTTCAAAGGGGAATGGGTCTGTATAAAAAAATACATTTTATTTTCAACATGTGTGAATGTTATTTATTGCATAATGCTTAAGGAGATCATTTGTAGAACTGCTTTTTTAGTCATAGGCTTGCTGATTTTAGAGATATTTTGTAGAAACAGAAACAACATTTGAATGTTTTTGAAAGTGGAAAACAAAAGTGTCTTTATTCATTTAAATCAGTTTTGTATTTGGATATATATATATATAGTCAATACATATTTGTTTGTTATTAAGTACCTACTGCAGGTATTGCTCTCTAATTTTTAGATTTATATGTCCTCAAGCTGAAAGCTGAACCACTATGAAACTATTAATATACATGGCATTTTTATTTATATTTCAACTCCTGTTTATTGTTCAATACTATTTCATAGAAATTAGTTAATAAACTTTGGAAAATGAAATAAATATTGTGGTATTCATATGATCTTGCCCTACTGAGTACATCCATTAGATATCTAATGTTTTGAACTTATGCAAATACAATACCCTAATGAAATAACTACAATGTAGTGGTAAAATCCTTTTAATAGGAGAATTTCTTCATACATGAGTGAAATTCACTACAGATCATGCCTCTGTATTAAAGGGATAACTAAATAATTCTGTAGTAAGTCAGAAAAGAATTAAATTTTTTTCATGTTTATTACGTAAATGCTACATTTAACTAAAAGTACACTGAGTGGTCACAAGTAAG